ATACATACATACACACATACATGTGTGTATATATATATATACACATCTGTATGCAAGCATGCAGACAGACAGACAGACAGTCAGTCAGTCAGACAGACAGACAGACAGACGCGGCTACGTCTAAACTGCCGTAACTGAGCCTCCGGATCCGTCAGCTCCGCCCGCCGCGGCTGCGAGAAGGGCAAGAGCTTCTCGACCAAGAGGTTCTCACCCTGACATGAGCGGGGTTCTTCAGGAATTTACTTCGGGTTACTAAGGAAACCATATGGTTGATGATATAAATCCTGCATTACCCATAATAAGGAAACATATGGAATATACCCTAATTCCCCTAGTTTATGCTCCTTAAGGTAATGCAGGATTTATATCGTAAACAGTAATATCTTGCCTTAGATCCTCATGGGAACCCAATCCGGGAGGAGAACTTCAGGAACACGGGGGGGATCCTAGTCTAGGCCCTAAATAGTAGGCTCCTCAATTTGATCAGGACCCCGTAGAGAACAGGCCGCACGGATTTCGAACAAACTCCCAGAAGGCTTTGCTGCAAGTAATTATTGTAGTATGCTGTACAGCTTGTTCTCGTATCGGGTAGTGCATGTGTAATGTAGCATGGTATAGCATGGCTCAGTCTAGTATTTTATCTGCAGCGCGGCACAGCGCAGTGTATCACCAAGTAAGTGATCAGCCGTTGTGGCCTGGTAGGGCAGTGTGAGCTGCGCATATGTGTAGTTCTCTAGTTAGGGTCGCTTTTCGGGTTCCTTTTATAAGGGTGCCGTACTGTACTATATTGGGGACCCAAAAAGAGAGCCACGTTTAGAGAACTACCCACATTGCATGGCAGGCTTTAGGTGTTGGAGGGCGTTGGGGGAGAAGCTTTCGGGAACTGTTCGGAGGGCAGGGCACGAAGGGAAAATCCGGCAAAAACCTAAGACCCGAAATCATCCAAAAGACCCGACCCTCAATCATCAAAAGTCTCAAACCCTGGGATCTTCGAAAATTTCTGGGCCTCGGGGCAGAGCCTCCCTGCTTCGCGCAGTTGCTGCAAGAGCTCCGCATTCTCCGTCTGAGGCCATTGACATTTCGGGCTAGTTTTTGCGGGGTCAGAGTAAAAGGAATGACAGTAAATAGTAAATCCGACAACTCTTCCTGACAGGGCCTAGCTCGAGTGCTTCGGGTAGTTGGGGCACTTGGCCTGCCTGGGGTGCCTGAGCACTTGGAAGGAGTTGAGATACTTGTTTGCGCATTCAAGTCCGTGGGTTCCATCTGGGATGCAGGCTTCAGGTCCGAGGCCACTTGGGAAAAACCAGGCTGCATTTGTGCTTGGGTTTCCAGCTCACGTGGATGCACACCGGCTTCAACGAGTTGTGCGCAGCTTTCAACAGCGGCAATGCGACGCCTGCAGTGACGGCCACAACGAGGCCGACACGTCGTGTGCAGTGCTTGTCATGCTCCTGTTGCTTGCTGTTGCCGCTGCTGCTCCTCGTCCTACTGCGACGCCGACGGCGACGACGAGTATTTCTACGACACTGCCAGGGCTCACTGCAACATCTGCAACTACTACGGCGATGGCGACGACATCGCGGACCTGGCGGAGTCTTCAAGCCTTGGAGTTCCACCTCCCCCCTTCCCGGGCACCTCAGATAGAACCAGCTGCAACCTGCTTGACCCCGCCTATTCTAAAAACGCTCGCAACCTTAAGGTTTGGACAGAGTGAAGCTCAGCTTCAGGGAGCGTTGCGCTGTTTGCCTTGAACCTGTGAGCCCTGAACCCTACGACCCTCGAAGTCGCATCTACCAGGTTTTTGGGACCCAGACAGCCCGACCAATCCTCCCAAAAAAGAAGCTCAAAACTTCGAGGAATGCCCCCCAAAAAAGATGCCTCGCTGAGATGTAGTGGGAGCCTTGGCAACGTCACCAATCACCGGGCCAGGGAGGGGCTGCTTTTCTTGCTTTTGCCGGCTCATTTCCCTTCCTGCTAGTAGGAAGGCCACTTACGGTTGATGATATAAATCCTGCATAACCCATAATAAGGAACGTGACTTGTGGCTTTGGGGCTCTTTCTCTCGCTTCGCTTCCGGGCTCCCGGCATCATCGGCCCCTTCCGCTTCACGGTCTTCTTCCGTGCGCCATCCTGAAAGCTTTTCAGAGCAGACAGCTTCTGGGGTTTAGGGTGTAGGGTTTAGGGCTTAGGGTTTAGGGGGTTCAGGGTTTAGGGTTAAGGTTTAGGGTTCAGGCTTTAGGGCTCACGGTTTAGGGTTCAGGGTTCCGGGTTTAGGGTTTAGGGTTTCGGGTGTAGGGGCCGGCCCGGGCCTCCCCGAGCAGAGTCACTTGCATCGTGACGCCGAAGGAGTACCTAGGGTTTAGGGTTTTAGGGTTGAGGGTTTAGGGGTTTAGGGCTTTAGGAGTTCAGGGTTTTAGGAGTTTAGGGTTTTTTTTTAGGGTTTAGGGCGCGAAAGACGGTCTGCACTCGGTGGGAACTGCCTGTTGAAGCATGGAAGCAGCAGGTCACGCATCTGTCTTGAAGGGGTTGAAGACCTCGCTGTCCACGCCTCCAACAGCAGGAAATGCTCGGTCTCAGTGCTCAGGCTACTGAGCTATCGGATGCCGCCTGATGCATCGGAGCTCATCAGCGAAGCTGTCGAGAGGACGGCCTTAGCAGAGTCGCTTTGGACAATCTCTTGCTAAGCAGCGCGACCTGTCCGCAAAAGCAAGACCTGGACTACGAGAGCCCGTCCCTTCCGAGATCCCGGCACCGACCCCTGTCAGCTCCGGTGAGAGGAAGCCCATGGTTCCACACATCGTCATCCTGCACTTGCTGAACACCTCGTGAAGCCACGAAACTCCGACGGCCCCACATACCCCAAGAAACCTGAACCCCTGGTGGCCAAACCGAAGGCACGGTCCTCTCTGCAGATGTCACCACCTGCACCGGAGGCTTTTTGGAGGCTTCAGGGACCTATGTCTGCGAAGAAGTGCGCGCGAGGCGGAATTCCGACTCAACCGAGCTCTGACCAGAGATGCTGATCTTGACCGGACCTGCCCTGGACCCGGATCAACCTAACCTGCGGATCCCCCACCTTCGCGAGCCCGAAGTCCGTCAACTTGGCCTGGCCAAGATGTTCGCGGATAGCCCACCACTGGAACCGAACGTTTTCCTTCGTTTGAGTCTGGAGGTGGATGAGGCGCCGCCCAAGAGCCCTGAAGATGAGCATGAAGATGATTGCCCGCAGCCCAGTCCTCATTCAATGTGCTGACGAGTATGTTCTCTGGCTTGACGTCCCGATACCTGCTGCCGGGAGCACAAAGAGGCTGAAGGCCCCGTGTTGAGAAACGTGAGCAAAGAAGCAGTGTGCCAGGCTTGTGAGCTGAAGGGTGGCACAGGAAAGGCTGTGCGTTGTCTGAGCATGTGACACGATCTTGTTCTCGTGAAGGTAGGCCAGTGCCAACATCACCTGACTGGGCAGCTCATGCAAGCCTCGGGGGCTTCGCTAACGATTATAGTTATCAGGCTGATGACGAACCTTGAGGATGAGGATGTGGAGGATGAGGAGGAAATGAGGAGGAGATGGGGGAGGATGTTGGAGGTGGGGCAGGGAGATGATGGGTGTTAAACATACAGAAAATGCATGCAGACGAGTAACACTTGTGATTAACTCGGTATAAGTTCCATGGCATAATACTGCATCATAACATAGTGCATCACCATATCATACAATGGATACGCATGAGCGCGCATGCGTGCATGTCCTATCGGGTAAAAGCAGGGAGGTCAGGTAGGCAGGAAGGTAGGTCGGTCGGTCGAAGGCAAAGAAGCATGCATGCAGTTTGTATAATGATGCACACATGCATGAGTGCCTCAGCAAGCATGACATCAGTATGTGATACATCAATATGTGATACACACACGTCAGTGCGTGGGTGCACGTGTCTGTGCGGGCGTGTCTGGGTCGCTCCGCGACTCTCTCCCTCCCATCCCACTCTGCGTCTCTCTGTATCTGTATATGTGCGCTGTGCGTCTGGCTGGCTGCTCGTCCATCCGTCAGCCTGCCCGTCTATCTGCACTCTCTCTGTCACGCTCTGTCTGTGCAAGTGCACATTGTGGGTGGGAGGACGAGGAATGGGGGTTGGGGGTTGGGGAAGGGTTTTAAGTAGCGGTAAGGGGTCGCGGGCCAGAGGCACGCTTCATGTTCGAACTCGCACGAAGAGCAGCGTCGTGGGGTGACTGCTATTGTCTTTCATCGCAGAAATAGGCCGAAGCCTGCAAGCAGCACTGCAAAACAGGCGATATGCAAACAGCAACAGCCACACAACTACTGCAACTTGTAACACACTGCAACTACGGATACAACAATAACAGCATTTATGAGAAGTGTTAGAAGAAGCTTAGTCAAAACTGAAAGTGCAACGAAAGCAAGCTTCCACTTCTACCTACAGCTGCACCAAGAACATCAAGAACGATGAAACACTAATACGAGTAGTAACGGGTAACGGCAAAAGGCATGGTAACAATCCAGCGGAGATGGTGCGACATTTGTAATGGTGACAATGACGACGCGGAAACCTACATCAAAACATTTGGAATAGCACGGCAAGAATGACGTGGATATACGGGTCATCATAAATCAGTCAAGGCGGTGCAGATCAGAAACAGGAACAACCACTCACGAGCAACAACCAGAAGAACGATCCTAACAACAACAACCACAACAAACAAACAAACAAACAAACAAACAATGTAAAGAGTAGCGAATCAAAGCTGCAAGACGAATGATGACGGCAGATCGAGCACAGTGTTGATATGCTGCACAGTCATAAGCAGTCAAAATGAAAATACTACCAGTGTCAATGGTAGCCTCGAAACCAAAGGTGACGATGACCAAACCGACACTGAACATGCGACTGGTCATGAGCGTGGGAACGAGAGCACTAACAGCAACAACAACAACAACAGCAGAGACGGCGATTATTGCTAGTATTGCAGACATGAAGCTGGTTGACAACAAAAATGAAAGGCGGATGGCCTGGCCCATGTACCGTGCCGCCAGATCTGGAGCGAGGCCAAGGCACCTGCCAGGGTGGCTCCGGAGAGGACTTGGTGCTTTCGGCAGGTTGGAGGTCTTCCGGTGTTTCATGGTGGTGGTAGCAACAACAACACGACTAGTATAGCTCAATGACAGTAGGAGCATCATTACTATCAATACCTTTGATCCCAAGTAGTCGAGCTTCTATTTGGGGGTTTCCGAAATAGGGGACCC